ACATAACATATACATAGCACATACATACATACATTACATTACATTACATTACATTACATACATACATACATACATACAGACACACATACACATACATACATACATACATTACATACATACTACAACAGACATACACCATACATCCACATACATACATACATACCATTACATACATACATTACACATTACATTACACTACACGACATACATACATTACATTACATTTGCACATTACATACATACAAAACATACATACATACATACATACATACATACATACATCATACATCCTACTATACATACATACATACATACATACATTACATTACTCACATACACATACATACATACATACGTACATACACATACATAAACATACAAACATACATACAGACAACACATACATACACACATACATAAATAACATTAACATACATACATACATACATACATACATATACATACATAACATACATACATACATACAACATACATACACACATACATACATACATACATAACATACAATACATACATACATTCATCACTACATTACAACACATACATACATACAACATGAATACATACATAACATACATACATACATACATACATACATCTACATACGACATACTACATACCTAATTACATACATACAGTACATACATACATTACATTACATACATACAGACATACATACATAACATAACATAACATACATAAACACATACATACATACATACAAACATACTTACATACCATACATACAAACATACATACATACAAGCACATTAAATACATACAACATACATATACTACATACATACATAACATACATAACAGACATACATACATACATACATACATACATACTAACATACATACATACATACATACATTACATACATACATACATACGCATACATACTTACATACAATACATATACATACATTACATACATACATACATACATAAATACATACATAACATACATGACATACATACATTACACATTAAAAGCATCATACAAAAAGATACATAACATACATACATAACATAATAACATACATAAACTACATACATACATACATTACACATACATACATACATACATACATACATACATACCTACATACATTACATACATCCATACATACAATAACATACATACATACATACATACATACACACATACATACATACAGAACATACATATACATACATACATACATACATACAAGCATACATACATACAACACATTACATCATTACAGTACATTACATTACATACATACATACATACATACATTACATTAAATTACATTACATTACATATCATACATTACATGCATACATCCACAACATACATACATACATACATTACATTACATACATACATACATTACATTACATTACATACATTACATTAACATTACATTACATTAACAATTACAATATCATTACATTCCATTACATTACAGTTCATACATACATATACATACATTACATACATACATACATACATACATACATACATACATACTACATACATACATACAGACATTACATTACACATCAATACATACATAATACATTCATACATACATACATACATACATTCATACATACATACATTACATACATACATACATACATACATACATACATACATACATACAGTACATACATCATACATACATACACATACATATCATACATACATACATACACATACACATACATAATACAAACATACATACATACATTACACTTACATACATACATACAACATACAACATACATACATACATACATACATTACATACATTACATACATACATACATACATACATACATGCATACATACATTACATACATTCATAAACATACATTACATTTACATACATACATACATTCAACATTACATACAATACGTTACATTATATACATACATACATTACATACATACATTACATGCATGACATACATACATACATACACATACATTACATGCATACATACATACATACATACATACATACATATTACATACATACATACACATACATACATGTATACAAATACATACAATACAATACATACAAATACATACATACATACATACATACATACATACATACATACATACATACATACATACATACATACATACATACATACATACATACATACATACACATACATTACATACATACATACATACATTACATACATACATACATACATACATACATACATACATACAAACATACATTACATATATATATATATATATACATACATAACATGGATTACATTACATGCATGCATACATACATACATTACATACATGCATACATTACATACATACATATATAAATAAATAAATAAATAAATAAATACATAAATAAATAGATAAATATATAAATTAAACAACATATATATATATATATATATTCTTTCCCAAATGGAAGGATAGGAGCCGCCCATCCCCCGCGCCTTGCAATCGAAGAGCTCGGGCATTGGGGTGGTGGTGGAGGTGGAGGAGAGCAAGGTGCAGCCCACCTTTCGGTTTAGGCAGCACCACCTCGAGTCTCGCTGTGGATCCAGCAGCTTCGGCTAAACGGCAAGCGCTGGGATCCGCAACTGGTTGCCTCTACTCACTGGCTGAGTGGATGGCCCAAAAAAAGACCAAACTTTATATTTACCACTAAAATGGTCTTCCCAAAAAGTTTAAAGTTCACGAACTCAGGAAGTGAGTCTAACTTGATCTCTGGAGTCTGTATAGAGGGTCGCTTGGTACCTTCTAAGGAGGGACTGAAGGACCCCTTACCCCCCCTTTAAGCCATCCTCATGAATTACTTGGACGCTCTGAGTCTGTGATACGTGGCATTGGTATGGGTTCTGAATAGGATAAACCTTATAACAAAGTCCCCGTCGACAACCACGGAGCTGAAGGTATGGAGTTCAGAACAAACAACTTGCAGAAAACCGATGGGCCCCTTTGCGGTGGTCTCTATTTTGCGAACTATCGATTTCTACACCCCTCACACTCGCCCCAAACCAGAAAAAATCGGGTGAACGGAAAGTGAGGCTGTGAGCGTGGTGCTTTCCCTTGCATGGACCTGTTTTATAGAGTTTCTAGCATCTCAGCAAACCGCCGAAAATCGCAGCTTTTGATTAATGAATCCCCCCCTGATTAATAATCTGAACCATTTGTGCGCACAACCCCAACGGGGTTTGACGGTTTTTTCGCTCAGAGCGCCAGGACCTCCGTCAGGTCCTCGAACGCCGGGCCCGAGGACCCGAACTGCTGGCGCTGGAAAGCCCTTAAACCCGACCCAAAAGGGGGCAATATGGGCCTGGGTCAAAAAATTAAACCACTAGAAAACCGCTGGTTTAGTCCTTATCTCCATTTACCAGGGTTCCATTTTGGGCACCCATTTTTGACTCACAGCCATTTTTGCTTTGGGAGCCCTCACCCCGGCTGCCAAAATCGAGGATTCGAACCCGACCATAGTTGTCCTTTTTGGGAAAATAGATGGCCTTGGTAGTTGATTGAACCACCAGGCCAACCAGCAATCGCCCACTACTCTTAAACCAAATCAACCAAAAAGGGTTGAGGTGTTTTTTTCTTTTCTACCAGCCCCGGCTTTTTACTAGCCCCGGCTCAGCACAAGGATTCCCCCCATGTGGTGCTCTATTTTAAACAAAATCAACGAAAAAGCACATGAACCCCACCCAAAGCTTTCGAAAGCTCCAAGCTGCCTCGAGAAATCCATACCTGGTTGACGTTGGAAGGGGAGCAAACAAAAAAACTTTAGCAGTTAAGTGGTTGGAATTAAGTGGTTGGATTCCAACCACTAAACCACAAAAAAAAAGTGTCCCACCAACAACCATGCATACCGAGGCACTTGGCTTTCTCCAGGGGCCAGTGCCTGGCAGCTTCCGGGAAACCCCACATGGGGCACGTGTGGGCGCCGGTTGGCGGTTGGGTTTGTCTCTACGTCCCCTGGTCATGGAGACTCCAGGTAGATTCACTGGGGCTTAAAGCCTGTAGGCTTTGTGGACCCTTGTTCCTTGCTAGACTGCTGAGTTGCTTTTGCGTTGGTTGACTGGCTGGTTGGCTGGTGGCTAGGTGCTCAATACGGGGCAAAGCAATACTGCCATTGATGAATGTGACTTTCAAGTGGTGAGTGTGTGATACTTATTTCTGGCTCGCTGGTTTGGTTTGGTTTGGATTGGCTTCGTCGAGTCTTCGTGGGTCACAATTCCTGTCAGGCATCCCCCAACTGGGAAGCCGGCTGTGTGCAAGAGCAGTATCGGCTTCTATATTTGCTTCTTAAGTCCCCTGGAGAAAAAAATAATCATACTGAGGATGGACGAAATCCTGCACCACTTTGAAACCATGGGAAACCATTGTTTGTTGGTATTTACCAGGGAATCATCGGAAACCAGGGTTTCTTAGGCGGTGCAGGATTTCGTCCATCCACCGTATGTCCAGTAGTGATAGATTATCTTAAACACCAACACGAGAAAACAACACGTTCTTAAACAAACGGACGTCAAGGTACCGGGGCTCAAACCAGCGGCACGTGCCGTCAGGTCCTCAAGATTCCTTTGACTGAAACTGAGGAATCGGACATGTCTTAGTCCCAGAATTCCTTCAGCCAAACATAGACCCCTGACAAAAACAAGTGATTCAAATGATCAATTGGTTGAAAGGAACAACGAAGGAAAATCTGGAAGGGCAAAATGACAAGGCCCTGCAAAAATGGAAATAATCCAGCCCAAGTTAGACTTTGGGTTACCATCGACTCGTCGAGCCCGGAAAAATCCAGAAAAAACAATCTACTAACTTTGGGGGGGGGGGGTGCTTCCCACAGTGATCCACAGTCTCTCCCAAAGGAGCAACTCCCTATCATCGGATGGGGTTCCCATTACCTCACCTAACAGCCATATTTGGGTATGTACACAACCCATAATGATTGGTTTTCCGTTGGTTTCCCTTTTTGCCAGCCCAAGACAGGGTACCCCCGAAAACACCCACCCACTTGCTTATCTCGCTGGTTCGAAGGCAGGAAATCGCTTTCGGGTTTTGGGAACGAACCTTTGGCCCTTGCAGGAAGCCACTCGTGGAATGGTTTTACTTGGGGTCGTTCCGGCTCATTCCCTGGCCGTGGAACTCGGAAGTACTCCTTGGCTTCAATCCGATGAATTGGGACAGCCAGCTACCAGCCTGCCAGTGCAGGAGTACCCTGTCTCCGGAGATGGCAATGGTTTTGGCCTCAGTAACTTCCCACAATGGACATGGAACAAGAGGGCATTGATTCCAATCGCAAGAGTGCCCTGGTTTTGCGGGCCATGTCACTCCAGATGTCGCCAGAACCCGTTTGGCAACAGACGACCAGGCCTGGACAGAATGGCTTGTTCTGCCACGCTTGAATGGCATGTTGCGGTGTTGAGCCCCGGACCCAGGAAGCACGCTACCAACTCAAGCCAACGCTCACCGACCGAAAGGAAACTCGTTTCAACATGGCAACAAAGTAATGTTTAAAGCCGATCCATTTTTGAGAAATATGAGGACTCCCAGAAAAACTGATCTCTGAAACGAGCAGAATCAAATGTGGCGAGCCCTGTTTGAGTCATGTAGACACAGGCTAGTTTCTCTGGTTGTACCCCACTTAGACGGTTCCAGCTTGTGACCACTTTCAGGCCTTAAGGAAAACCGTTGGGCTTAAGTCTACTTTTGGGCAACCTGTGGATGGTTGCGAAATCCAAATCCTGCACCACCCAAGAAACCCTATGATGATTCCCCTGTAAATACCAACAAGCAATGATATTCCATGGTTTCAAAGTGGTGCAGGATTCGTCCATCCACTGTAAGAACAGAACGCGGTTCACACATAGTCGAAATTCAGCGAAAGTTCGGGTTTCGCAGGCACGGCTTTCAGAACCTTGAAGCTAGACGTACAGGAATGACCCTGAATCTGGTTGACCCTTTGGGGCCTTGAGCACATCTAGCGCTGAAACAGCAACAAGACATTGGGACATAAACGGTGAACCTTTGGAAACTCCACTAACACCAAGTAAGAACACCAACCGACCAAATACATCTTGATTGACGTTGGAAGTGAGCAAACACTTGAGTCTTAGCAGTTAAGCGGGGATTTCAACTACTAAACCACAATTAAGCGGGGATTTCAACTACTAAACCACAACAGGTAAAAATGTAAAATGTTTTTGAACAGCAACCATGGTATGGGAAGCAGGAAACACCAAAGCAACAAATGCCTATGGATGTTGGAGAGATTCGTCCGCTGAGCCCCCGAGGCACCGGCGCGTCAGCTTGGCAGCCTGACTCGAGACGCGGAAGAAACTTCGCAAAGCAGCCCAGCCTGTTTTGAGGAACCAACGCAATGATGTGGCCATGGGTCAAAACCCCGTGCTTTCGGTGAGCATCCCAATCCCCACTACAATAGGTTCCAAAATGGGTGGTGCACCTATCCCAGAATGGTACCATGGGTCAAAACCACAGCCATGTGGCTTGCTGCTGGTTCCTTGCTTGATTGTTTGCTAGCTTGCTCGCTTGCTGGGCATTTTTGTTTGATTGCGTTTTGTTTGTGCTTTTTTCTCAGGGGGGAAGTTTGGGGGGGAGGGGGGTTCAGTGGCACCCCTTTCCCCGTGTGTTTGGTGGGTTCCCACACCAATTCGAAACGACCCACACAATGGGCAAGTGTGAAGAAAACCCCTTTGGACATTTTTCAGGCCTAGCTACGTAAGTCTTTGGTCTTTTGCCTCAATCAAAACCAAAACGGATGGAGTCTCCCAACTGGGTACCCTCCTTCCAGTCGTGGCACCTTCCTTCTGGGAACCTCCCTTTCCACTTGCATGACTGCTGGAAAGTGGGCGGGACGTGGTCTCAGTGATTCCATTTCCCTGTACAAACTGAAAGAGCCATGCGTGGTTGGCATATCTAGCAGTAATTGCGCCGCGCTGGCCTTGGTATGATAGCAAAGCACTTTGTTCGGTGCAGCCCCACCCAAATACAAATAAAAGCGAGCAACCATGCAACAAAACTGAAGACCATACCAAGATCAGAAGAACTGGAAAAACAAGGGCCCCCTGTGCTTCCTCCTCAGTTTCTTTGCTAGAAGTTTGCTCTTCTTGGAATCGACGGCTTTGGTGGCTAGTCATGTAGACAGCTGGTCCCCTTCAGCCCCAAGTTTGGCACGGTCCTTCTGAATCCGCCTTTGGGCTTTTCCTAAGGCTTTCTCCGCTCCGCGTGCGGAGTGATGAAAAACAGACCACACCTGAGGCCGAAGTGCGGCTTGTGTCAGAATCTCCTTCCTCTGATCCCAAAGAAACAGACTGCACATCGCGTCTGATCGACGGCACACAAAATGTCCAGACTTTCTGATTACCACTCTTCCATTTGGTTAAGCCCCCTGGAAAAAATGTTTCAAACAAAATATATGTTTAAACAAATGGAAGCACTACAAAGGGGTCCAGACCCAATAAGACGGTGCTTGCAGGCGAGGGCTTCCTCGCAACCCCCAACCCCACACCCCAATGCCCGTTTTGCATGTTCAATCCTACTTAGATGGTCTGGGACGAATCGCTCAATGGCTAGCTTTGCCCTGGGGACTTACAACCATAAGTGGGTTACAACCACCTGGAGTCTCCATGACCCTGAAAAAACATGGTTGGTCATTGCCCAAAATGGGGTCATGCGCCCATTTCTAAAGGCTCATGGAGAGTCCCGGCAGGGCCAAGCGAATCGCCATTTCGCGATTCCTCCCAGCCCATCTAAGTGTCCCAATGCCAAGGGCTTCAAGAAATTGGCAGGAGGCTCTTTCTGGGTTCGTGGTAAGGCGATGCGCATTCCAACATGTGCCTCTGCAATGGCTCAATCCCTATATCTGGGCAAAGTAGAATGACTCACAGACCGAACAAATGCAGGAACTCGATTTTCGGAAGCTTCATCACGTTGAATTTGCAACCTCCCTGGTGATGCCTTCATACGTGAAGTGCAAACCACAAACACAGCGACATCCGACTCCGTTCATTTGGCACTCCAAAAGGGGGACCCCGGAAAACGGACTTGGGTCGCCCGGTCGCCCTGTGTTCCGAAGTGAACCCAACAGGGGTTCCCCGACTTGTTCAAAGGACCTGCATCGACATAGACACCCCAGGAGATGGAACCGTTGCAAATTGTTCAGCCCCGTCTGCTCACTGGGGGGCTTCCCAATCACAGTAAACATAGGCGTTGGGCGTTGGGCGTGTTCCCATTAGGGTGTTCCCTCCAAAAGTGGTCTGAATCCCCCCTAAAAGGGGACACCCCCCAATCAAAATCGACCAGGGGTTTATTAATCCGGGGTTAACATTATCAATCTGGTTCCGAGAACACACCAAAACAAACGCAAAGATTCGCTATGAAAAACGGATGGTTCAGCATTGATCATGTCATGAAACCAAACTTGGTCAGGTCGCTGCAGTCTGTTCAAAGCGCATGCTTCCCTGAAACTGGGAGTCCCTGAGGTTATGTTTCTCTGACGTTTTCGAGGTTTGCTCCGGCACGCCCCGAAGTCGCCATTCATGTTTTTGGGCAATCTCCCCCCAGAAGCCGTGTGTGAATTTTGACATGTTGGCCACACCCCGAATTCGACTCCGACCAAGGTCAGAGCCGTAAAGTATACACCTAGACTCTCCATGACCCTTTAAAAATGGGTGCTTGACCCCCATTATTTTGGGTAATGACCCAATGTTTTTTGAGGGTCCATGGAGACTCCAGGCAATAGGTTTTTGAAGGAAACCCTCGGATGCAAACCCACGGGTAAGCAAAAATTGGCTGGTTGGCGCTTCGCGTCCTAGCCAGAAGAGAAACCCAACAAACCTAATTACTGTGGATGGTTGCGAAATCCGCTTCGCACCACCTAAGAAACCATGGTTGGAACCAGAAGGTTTGTTGGTACTTACAGGGGAATCCGGAATCATCAGAAACCAGGGTTTCTTAAATGGTGCGAAATGGATTTCGTCCATCCACAGTAGGTCTTCAGATTGCCGCCGTTTCGGCCTCCAAAATCTGAGGATTCCGGTCCTTCCAAATTGCGGTCGAGGCCGAAAAGATGAAGTCAACCAAACCGCAGGGTTTGAAATGAGCATTTCATCAGCACACAAAAAATGCGGATTGTCTCGCAAGAGGGACACCTCTCAAATCAAAGCATGGTACTTTGTGTTTTGGTTTCCTTTAAACCCACCCCCCAAAAGAGAAACCACAAACCGACCGGGGCCCCATGTCTTTCCTTCGCTAGAGGAAAACAAAACACAAAACGGAGAAAAAAACACGAACAAAAGAAGAAGAAAAAACGCGGGCGCTGGCCTACGCCTTCCATGTGGCAGCAGTAGTGGCGCTTCACCTGGTTTAAATTTGAGCTCCGTCGGAACCGCCGGGTCCGAAGGGACAAGCGACTCTGAAAGCCAACGAGAGGCTTTCGAGCGCAGATTTTGGTCTAAAGCCTCACCCCAAATATCCGCCAGGCGGCGCGGAATAAGATATGCTCCTTACCTCTTTACCTGTTAACTCTCCCCTTACCCCTTTTAAGAGGCGTGGTTTCAGACTATTGCGGGGGGGGGGGGGGGGGGGGGGGGGGGGCGGGGGGGCAGGGCGGGGGGGGGGGGGGGTTGTGTTTCTGGAACCAGAAAGAAAGGGGGGAAACTTTCCGCCCAACAGAAAAATAAGAAGAACGGCACAGATCCAGGAGAATCCTTGGTCCAGCCTTAGGGAAGGACTGAACAGCCAGCCGCACAAGGGCCCATGATTAGAATGGCGTGGGGTAGGCTATGACCAAAGTGAGTAAGGCCCATAGAAAAACAAAACGGTGCAAGCTATTTAGCCTCTATTGATTATCTCATTCTTGACAGGGATCCTTTGTTTCGGTACATGCCCCAAACACCCAGAGACTTGTGGTCTCGTAAAAACACGATCAGTAACAAGAAGGGAAGAGCAATCTCTAGAACCATAATTAGCAAGCTACAGCTACATTGTAAATGCTTTGTCAGCCTGGTTAGACCGTGTTCCCCTGTTCTTTGGGTGGGTGGTTGCCTTTGGACAGCCAGGCAAGGAACAACTTCTGAGAATGCTTCCTATCTCAGCCGGACGTCCAAAGACCACTGCATGAGTTGAGCCAACTTTGGAAGCCGTCTCCGACCCGCCAAGAAACAGAAAGGTAAAACGTTGGCCCACTTCGAACAGAAATGGCCATGGGTCAAAAGCCAAATCGTACCCCCAGTGAACATTCCAATCCAATCACTAAAATATGTCTAAAATAGGTGCTGAATTCACCTACCAACCAAAATGGGATCCCAAAACGGTTTTGACCCACAGCCAAATACCAACAAGAAGCAGCACACCCACCTCGCTGTCCAGCGCTTAAGCGATGACTTAGGTGTGAGATTCAACTGGCGACCCTCTGGCGGACATCATTTGGCTGTGGGTCGCAAGTGGGTACCCAAAATGGAACCCTGGTAAATGGAACTCATACTAAGACGGTGGTCCCCTGGTGGTTTAATTTTGACCCCACACCCATTTGGGCGGGGAATTTATGTACATCAACCGGTTGGAGAGCATTTCCCATTCAGATTCACAGCCGCCTGGGCGATCGCCTGGATCGCTTCGGGATATGTTTTTTTGGATTGATATAAAGGGAAACGAGAACCCAGAGGGTCCAAGTACTTCATGAGGATGGCTAAAAAAGGGGGGTAAAAAGGGGTCCTTCAATACCTCCTTAAAAGGTACCAAGGAAAATTCTGGGGAAGGAAACCCCCGCCATTTTTGGGGCACACCACTCACAGACTCACGGTCCTACCTCAGCTTTTCCCGGAGTGACATCTTTACATGAGGTTCCAAGGTTGGTGAACCGAACTGGCCATGAAAGAAAATTCATGAGGAATACCCTCCTAAAGGACACTTAAGAAGTCGGTAAATGAGCATATCCACCAAAAAACGCCAAATTGGTAAACATGCAACACCTGTCTGAGATGTTGCTAAATGTAAACTACTCTTGCTGGCTATTACCCCCGTGCGCAGCAAGTATAGAGATTGGGCAGGGTACCATGACCGAACATATATATATATATATTTATTTATTCATTTTAAAAAAGGTGAGCTCATTTTTAATTCTCCAGGTAGACCGCCGCAAACGTTGGTTAGGGGACCTCTGCATTCAGGCTGGGTGGTCAATCCGGAGTACAGCCTGGGGCTGTGTGTCTATGACCATCCCTGCGAATCCCGATGTTAGCTTTTGACCACGGCGGAGATACATGTCCACCTACAGTCGTTCCCGATAGAAAAGAACAACAGACACACAACGCTAACTGAGAGTACCAAGATGTCGGGTTTTTTTGAGCTTCCGGTTTGAAGCAACTTGAAAGGGCTCCTGCAATACAGGGGGCATGTTGGCTGGTGGTCCCGCCATTCAGAGAACATCGGGTTCCACTTCAAAGCGAAAACCAGGGGACAATGGTTTTTGGATAATCACTTCTTCCTATTAATCAACCTACCCCTAATAATAAAACTCCCCCGAGCCGCGTTCGAGCCCGAGCTCCGGGAGTACGAAAGTTGCGATTTTCGAGTGGGAGTACGATTCCTGTACTAGCCCTAGAAATAAATGGCCGAGGTGGTAAAGTACATTTTCTGGGAAAAGGCAATTTGTTGCTTCAATTAGGTCGGATCATGATTTTCACGAAAATCCTTTTTAAAAGTAGCTGGAAGGGGCTGCACAGTCCCATTTTGCCGAGCTTGAGAGTGCTTCGTGCACTTCGCACGGCTGCCTTCTGCAGAAACTTGCCAACGTCAGCCATGGGGCAGGGCTTTACTTGATATATCTGCAAAATTTAGAATACTTCGCACCTCGCACCTCGAATTCTTAAATCGGATTTGGAAATAAGGAAATCCTACCTCGCAGCCGCAACACATGTTTTCATCAGGCTCGGAGCTGAAGCTTCGGCATTGCCCGCGCTCTTTTGGCGATGGCCACGCCCAAGGAGCTTGTGACTTGCTCTTTGGTGGCATCACGATCTGCAGCACACCGCCTGGCCAGGCGAACATCCTTTGTGAACACTGTCACGCGTCTCGCATGACATGCAAAAAGCTAAGACTCAGCAAAGAGTCCACTCAGGAACTCGCAAGCGAAGCGGAGGCAAAGGACCGCCTCCGCTGTCATCTGGGCGACACCCCACTCGGATTCTTCTCTTAAAATATCTTTCACCAAACGGCAAAAAGGCCTCAAAGGAATTGCCGCCTCGAGCCGGCGCGGGTATTGGTCGAGTCGCTGCCCTTGCCGACTGCGCTGGCCTCACCTCTGTTCGGCGCGCAACCTGCTTCTTCGCCCCCCTGATGTTGCTGCGCCGCCGGCAAGCCATCCTGAGCTGGTGCATCAGCTGGTCCATCACCACTCGCGCGTCCTTGGCCGAACGGCAAAGATCGCCCGAAAGAGTGCAGAATTTCAGGCGGGAGCGTTATGGGCAATCTTTGCCGGTTGGGGGTCAGAAGGGGGAACTTCAACTTTGGAATTGGAATTGCGGGGAACTGCCCTCACGCAGCTGAAGCAAGCCACGGATCCCGCTAATTTTTGCATTTTGGTAAACATGAATGCTTCTGGGAAAGGTAGCAATGTTTTTGCAAAAGCTTGCCAGCAACCTCTGCAGGCCAGGAGCAGTCGCACGCCGAGGCGAAATCCCCAGCGCTGCCAGGAAAACCTGCCGCTTCTGGCCGTTACTGAACTCGACCACCACGTTCTCGTCGAACCACTTGGCACTCACACCATACAGCGTGATGGCGCTCTTCAAGTTGCTCTCCTCCTCCGGGGTCTCTGGTCGAGGCCTCACCGCCTTGCAGGTGGTCACCCCTCCGCGGCCTTGTCGGTGTCCCAAGGCAGGCGAAGTGCCTGCCACGCTCTCGAGCTGGAGCACGTTGGCGCTTTCTGCCTTTTCACAAGCAGGTTGGAACCCAGTCTTTTGGGTCTGGAAGGGTTGCATGGTGCTGCGCAAACAAATTTGACAAGTGGAGTTTGAAAAAGGGCCGCTCGGCCCAACGAACCCGCCTTTGGCAGACTGCTTGGCAAGGCTCGAAGGCTCGGCCTGGCTTCCTTGGTTTCTGGCTGCGAGCTGCCAAATGCAAACAACAGGTTCTCCCATTTGTCGGTTGTCGGCGCTGAGAAATCCCCACACAGAGCCGCTTGCCAGCGGCAAAGAACGCCCAGGGAACCTGTAGGGAACAAACGGAATCCGTACGGGCAAGCCGTCCCAGCTTGTGTTGAAGCAGGCCGTGGCAGCATGCAAGCCACCAGCAACAAACCAAAAGTGGCCAGGCTGGATTCGAGCCAAGACCTCCAGCATCTGACGTGTACGCAGTACCATCTCGCTACGGGGTCTTGTTCAACAGTGCGGGCGGGGGGCCAAATTGGCAAGGTCCAATTTGGGCTGAGCGGCAAAGATTGCCCGTGCAAGCTCCGTTCGTCTTCCGTGGCTGTGTCGGGCGTTCTTTGCCACTTTGGTGTCTATTACGATCTGGATGCCAGTGTGGGTGTTTGTTTGGGTTCAAAACCCAAAAAGTGCTCAATGTGGGCCAGCTCAGTCAGTGTTTCAAACTGATTTGAAAAAGAGCACGTGGATCAAAAGCCATACGGCAGACTCTACATGCTACGGCCTAAAAGATTCCAGCTGGGCCAACTGAAGACATGGCCTGTTGCCACACCAAAACCAAAGAAGCCTCCGCCTTTTGTCAAAAACAAAACCAAAGCCGGGATGGGGAAAGCAAAGCCGCCCCTGCCTTCAGCTTCTTCAAGAAGCTTTTCGTCTTTCACCCAGCACTTCCCCTGGTCGGGAAACAACTAGGTTCCCAACAACATTTGAACACTGCCTTCTGCAGCTTTTGGTGTTTCACCCAGCGCTTCGGGAAACATGGATTTGACACACACGATGCTGACTGATTCAAGCATTTGGGTGTGTCTTGTTTTGGCGGACCCCCCGACCCAACAAAGGCTGTCCCTTTTGTATCCCTTTAAAACCGCAAAAAAAGGAGGCACCCTCAAAAAAAAGGCAGACCCGTTTGGACACCGCCTTCTGCAACAGCTTCCGCAGCTTCTTGTCTTTCACCAAGCGCTGCCCCTGGCCGAGAAACAATACCCCTAATTGGGCAACAAACGCTGAACACTAGATTCGAAACATGGCATTTCTGCCACAGATTCAACAGCTTTTTGCCTTTCACCAAGGTCTTCCCCTGGCCAGGCAACAAACACCAGATTCGAAGCATGACATGGCGCCGGGACCTTCTTCTGCCACAGCTTCCGCAGCTTCTGGTCTTTCACCAAGCGCTTCCCCTGGCCGGAAAACAATATACACTAGCTGTCTTTTACCC